ATAATTTTAGATGATCAAAAAACACTAGATATTCCAATTTACCTGGGTGTGCTGGTACACAAAGCGTTTTGGGGTCAAAACGAACTGGAGAAGTCTTTAAAATCTAAAAACGGAGAAGCAAACTAACATCAGTGTTAGTTAGAACATTGTCATATTTACACTACAATAAGGACATAGAGTTTAGACAGTAAATCCCTCAGACATGGCAATGAGTTCAAATCCTGAAGTTCTCTTTACCTTTGGGTTATCCATGATGGGAGTGACTGTAAGGTCACTGTCTGTGTATAAAAGGGGTTTAATACAGGCGTTCATGTCACTCTGCTCCTCCTCCATAACACTGGATTCCTACGGAGCACAGGGACAACATACTCCTTTCATCCATTTAACACTGGTGTCAGAACTTCAGCAAAACCTGCACCACTGTGAGCAATCATTTCAGAGCAAGTTTATCCAATCCTGATCATGGAGGGACACCTTCATGCAGAAATTAGCTCCAACCTGCTCCAGTTCATCTGCCTGGTCTACTTAGTTCAGGTGCATTTAATTAGAGTTAAAGCTAAGCTCCGAAGAGCTGTGTTTCGATTGGCAGGGTCCCTAGACAGTGTTCACTGCTCCCTATTTGCTAAGCAAGGGGTATCTCCATTGAAGTTCACTTCACTTGACAAACTGTGTTCATTCTAAACATCCTGAGAATTTCGATCATTTGAGTATGAATATGTTTGTGTATATAGTACATTCAAGTGAATTTAAATACATATTGTTATTATTAATTTAAATGGTCTTATTTAAAAGTGCTAAACTAATATATGTTGGGTTATATATGAAAATAAACAATTTTGTAGTGTGATAACTGATAGTATACACATCTAATATAACCAAATTACATTTATTTTCATAAACTGTTATAAATGAGAAAAATGGCTGTTGTGATGCTTAATATGAAAATAAACGTACACATCATATATAGCCAAATTACATTTGTTTTCATATTAAAAGTCACTTCGTTTGGCACACTTAAATATGACAATTTATATTATTTAAAGTAATAACTTTACATTAAATGTACTTGGATGTATTACATACACACATACACACACACACA